AAGATGTTTGTTTGCCCTATGTTACCTTAGATATGCAGCTTGCTGATCTCTTCACCAAAGCAGTCACCAGAGTCAAATTGGAATCAGACTTGTGCAAGTTGGGAATAGATATTCATCATTCCCAACTTGAGGGGGAGTGTAGTGATACAGTGGACCAGACATGATGTTCCTTGTTTATGTGGTCCCATAAGTTCAATTTTTTTTTTTCTCATTTCTTGCATTTATGCTTGCTTACTCGTACTATTGTAGGTAGCAGGGCATTTTTGTCATTTTACCTAATGTTATGTTAAACATATAAATAATACTGCCTTGGGCGGCAGTAAGTGATTTTCGCCCATCACTCTCTTGCTCTTCCTCTGCTCTCTTTTCTCCTTTCTTTCCTCCTCTTCTTCTCTCTTCTTCTTCTTCTTCTTTGATTTTTGTTTTGTTTTGTACCTAGAAGTTTTGCTAACAGCAGTAGCTTCAAGTATTACCATCATCAACAAGTTGTCCAACAGAAATAAGGCTAGTAGTTAACTTAGGCACAAAAAAGGTTTTAGGAAGATGTAAGGGTGTAGACTTAGAAGTGGACAGAAATAAATCATCACACCCACATATGCGAAGAGAATCACCATTAGCAGTAATAATGTGGTTGACAGAGGTGTAAGGTTTAGAAGACTGACCAAAGAAGGTCCCAGTCATATGGTTTGAGGCCCCGAAGTCAATGATCCACATGTGTGAAGAAGAAGAACACAAATAAGTAGACTTACCAGCCAATCCAATAGCAGAAAAAGCAGAGGAAATAGCCGAGGACATGAACTTATGAATCTTATCTTCAGTCAAATTTCCCTGTGCATTTGGTTTGTGAGCTGATGAGGATGATGCAGTATCAGTTGGAGTTGGTTCAGCTGATGCTTGATAAGCCTTATGTTGTCCTTTCTTGGGGGGCCTGACTGGGCATTCCACAATAATGTGTCCCTGCTGTTTGCAGTAGGTGCAGAAAATTTTCTTCTTGTAATGGGATGCCACATGCCCATATTCCTTGCATTCATAACATTGCATCTTCGAGAAATCCTTCTTCCCCTTCTGTTTGGTGGCCAAGAAGACAATATCTATTCCATGTTCCTTCTTCTGATCAAGTGCAGACTGAGTGAGGAGACAAGTTTCCTCTCTTAATAACTCACCAAGTATAATATCAAGATCTGGTACAGGCTCTCTGCTGAGTATACTAGAGCGTAGGTTTTCATAATCAAATATGAGATGCATAATAAATGCATAGTCTTTCTCTTACTGAGATGTTTCTTCATAGTTTTCACACAACAGTCTGTAGAGAGATCCTCAAAGTGAGCCAATTCATATTCAGTCCAAAGGTTCATAAGAGAAAATATCAACTTCAATCTGATATTGCCTAGGCATATTCGGTTGCTGATAAACCTTTTCAAGGTATTCGAACATGTCATGGGCAGATTTGAGCCCCCTCATCGGAATACTGACATCCATAGTAACAGAATCGAGAATCCACGAAACAACCTATGCATTCCCAGTTTTCCACTATTTCAGCCCTTTGATATCATTGGCATCGGGAATGGATGTGGAACCATCAATATAACCCCACATACCCTTCCCTTCAACAAAATACTGAAAGTGAAACTTCCAGAGAGCATAGTTGCTTCCATCAAACTAAACAGAAATAATCTCATTCTTTTCTAGACCCTTGTTGAGTAAGAACACAAAGCAAAAAAGTAGTTGAAGCGAGGAATATAAGCAGAAAACCAATTCAAGATAGTCAAAACCAAGAGAAGAAATCTCTCACAGTCGAAAGAAAGTGTCCAAGATACAGCAATAGTTAAAAACTGAAAACACAATCCAAAAAAGGAAAGACTGGCTGCTGCCGCCCAGAAGAGATGTATAGATCTCTCTTAGTACTTCTCTGATCTCGATGAAACTTTCACGGGGTGAAGAAGAGGACCAGGCGACACTTCCTTTTAATTTTGACTGCAAACGGATGTCTTCCGAGAGAGATCCAATGAAATCTCTCTTGCTGGATGCATAAAACACAAAAAACTGGTTCTTGGAATGATCAGAACAGTCCAGAACCAATCAATGATGAAGATAGCTCTCAAGCAGATTAGAAGAACAAGTAATGGATCAGAGAACAGCCTGCTCTGATACCATGTTAGTTTGTGAGAAAGTGAACTGACAAGAGGAAGAACAATAGTCCACATCTGTTAGGGTTGATCAATCTGATCGAACCAACCCAAAAAGAGAGTATTTATATTAAAGAAATATGAATGGACAAATTTGTCCTTACAAAAGACTTAAAGAATCTGTACACTAATGTACACGCCTACTAAAATACAAGAAAGAAAGATAAAATTACATAACTACCCTCCATCTTCTCTACATTTCTCCATTACTTATTAAATAAAGAAAAAGAATTTATGGCAGTCAAGAGTCATGTTTTGCATGCTTATTTTTATGTATTTGAGGAATAATAATGCTCTGAAATATGGAGTCAAGGGCCTTTTATGCACAAAAGGACAAAAAGGGGGTGTTTATGCTAATGCTTGGCAATTTGGAGTTTCAGGCCATTTTATTTTTGCCTTTTGGTTCTTAACAGGCCTGTGGCTCTGTTGATCAAGTTAGCAATCATGAGCACTTACCTCATCCCTTTGATCGGGACAAAGTGGTAAAATGCATCCATCAATCTCCCTATTAAGAAGAGGTCTTTGGAATACCTGAAATTATATTGCCTCCTAAAGAGAAAACCCATTTAATTGTTTTGTCCCTTTGAGCGGATGCCCTATAAAGTCTTGGGCAAAGAGTGCTGAAACATTGCAATCTAATCAGCATCCTAGAAATGAACCTTAGATTCCAACTCCAATGTTTTGATAAAATTGATTAATTGAGAAAGTTGGCCAAATCCCAGTTTAGGCACCAAGTTATTTTGTTGTTGATATTTGTTGAGGGCAAGGAGACTGTTGGATGCAGATGGGTTTACACATTTAAATATAAGGCAGATGGAAGTATAGAAAGGTACAAGGTCAGACTTGTTGCAAAAGGGTACACATAGACCTATGGCATTGATTACTTAGGGACCTTTGCACCAGTTACAAAGATGACCTCTGTTTGGATACTTCTTTCTCTTGCTGCCACATACTCTTGGCCCCTGTTTCAACTTGATGTGAAGAATGCTTTCCTAAATGGGGATCTGCAAGAGGAAGTGTATATGGATCTTCCTGCTAGCTTCTACAGTGATGCTGAAAAGGGAAAGGTATGCAGGCTTAAGAAGTCACTTTATGACTTGTAACAATCTCCCAGAGCATGGTTTGACAGATTCAGAAAGGCCTTGATTGCTTTTGGCTACACTCAAACTCAATCCGATCATACCTTGTTTGTGAAGCGAAGGGGATCTTTGGTGTCARTCCTAATTGTTTATGTGGATGATATTGTTGTCACAGGGAATGACCTAAGTGAGATTGATTGTTTGAAAAAGAATCTACATAAAGAATTTGAAATTAAGGATCTTGGAGAACTGAGATACTTCTTGGGCATTGAAGTTGCAAGATCAAAACATGGAATTTTTATCTCTTAGAGGAAGTATGTCTTGGATCTTCTTCAAGAGACAGGGAAGCTTGGAACGAAGGCAATCAGTACACCTATTGATCAGAACCACAAAATTAATGCATCAGAAGGTGAGCCAATAAAGGACATTGGGAGATATCAGAGACTTGTGGGTYRGYTGCTATACTTGTGTATGACAAGACCAGACATTTCCTATGCAGTAAGTGTGGTAAGTCAATACATGCATGCTCCACGAGTCCAGCATTGGGAGGCTGTTGACAGGATTCTTGCTTATCTGAAGGGACACTCAGGCAGAGGCATATTGTTTACTGATCATGGACAGTTGAAATTAGAAGCTTATACAGATGCAGATTGGGTAGGATGCCTTGATGACAGGAGATCCACTTTAGGAGTATGCACCCTTTTGGGGGGTAACCTTGTCTCGTGGAAGAGTAAGAAACAAACAGTGGTGGCAAGATCAAGTGCTGAAGCTGAATATAGGGCCATGGCACATGAAGTTTCAGAACTAATCTGGATCTGTTCCCTATTAGGAGAAATTGGTATACAGGCAAAAGAACCTATGATGTTGTATTGTGATAACCAAGCAGCAATTAACATTGCCCATAACCCAGTCCAGCATGAACGAACTAAGCACATTGAAGTGGATAGACATTTTATCAGAGAAAGAGTGACTTCTGGGGAAGTTTGTCTTCCATACATTGCTTCTGATCTGCAACTCGCTGATGTTCTCACAAAAGGTGTTGCAAGGAACAAGCTGGAGCATGATCTACGCAAGTTGGGAATGTGTGACATTTACTCCCAACTTGAGGGGGAGTGTTGAGTTGGGCCGGAGTCTAGTTATTGGGCCCATTTGTTTTTATACTTTTTTTAAGTTATTAAGTTAGGAAGTTGTTGGGCTTGGCCCATTAGTTTATGTTTTTAAGTTGTGACTGTTCAGCTACTTTAGTAGCCGCCCTACTAAGGGTGTTCTTGTAATATCTCATTCTTTAAGTTAAGTATAAATTATAATGAGGGGTTGGCGGCCAGAACTAATTCAATTCTGGTTGACTTCCTATTCTTTTCTTATCCTCTTTTTTTCTCTACTGCTGAAACTCTTCATCTTCTTCTTCTTTCTCTTCACAAGGAATTCATCTAAATCTGCAATCAGTAATTTTTACTATATTAATATGCTGCCATAAAATAATAGTTTGCCTCACTGGCTCCACTTGAGGTTTTTATTTTCAATGATAAACTTTTGCATGTATTAGTTTGGTGGTCTGGTATATAAACTTCATGGTGCTATCTAAACTTGTTGTTTTGATGAATACATAATGAAACTCACATATATACATGTTTCTACAAGTTTCTGTATGGGTATTTGTGTTATCTTTTAGAATACACTACTTACAATAATCGTTTATCAAAATTTTAACTAGAGTATATTTCTGTAATTGTAGGTTTACCTGAGTCAAATGGCTACATTTATGTTGAGGCAAATGGTGGCTTGAATCAGCAGAGGACATCGGTTGTTCTCATTCCTTAATTGTATTTCATTTATTATTTTATTAATCTTTTATTGTTTTCATGTTTTTTTTTTCTATGCCATGGAGGCTCAAAATACTTTTGCCATTACTGCCATGTATCTTACAGATCTGCAATGCAGTTGCTGTTGCCGGTTACCTAAATGCAACACTTGTGATCCCAAATTTCCATTACCATAGCATTTGGAAGGATCCTAGGTTTGTCAGTAACTTATTCTTTTCTCAATCTAGTCTGTAAAATGGGGGTAAACATTGAAGGTTATTCTAGTTTTCTGGTTGTTGATCTAAATTTTCTATGTTTTTTCTTTTGATCGTTGAATAGTAAGATTCATTAAATCATAGCATAAGAAAATACAAGTTAGAGAGAGGCACGAGATGCTACCTCCCCTTTAAGAAAGGGAGATGGAGCATTCCATCCATCCTTTAGGTGATTAAACAAAACAAAGATAAAATTACAGAGAAGCCCAATACAAAGTAACCCAAGAAATCCCTTGTTTATCAAGAGAATCAGCCAAGGCATTTGCTGATCTGCCCACTCAGTGAAACCTGTCATATTCCTTGTGAGCCATTTAACCTTTTATAAGACATCCTTAAAGCCCCATGTGACAGTATCTGAGTCAGCCAACCATCCTACAACCACCTTGGAGTCTCCTCCAATTTTTAAGTTATCCACTCCAAGTTGGTTTGCAATCTGTATCCCTTGTACAGCAGCTAGAAGTTCAGCCCTTGTAGAGTCTCCTATTCCCACTGGGCCTGGAAAAGGAGAGAGAATGTTACTGCATTCATTTCTCAGAACACCAACAGTGCCAGACAGAAGATTTCTGTGCTGCATATCTTTTTCTTTGATTGTAAATGAGATATTTTATTATTTTGGGAGTGACTGTTCAGCACACCCTAAGAATTCTTAGCCCCACAGTACAGTTGGGGTAGGTGCCAACTCGGAATTGATGCCAATACACAGGCAGGTATTCGTGTTTTAGGGTGGGGGTGTTTGTCATTTTGAATTGTGTAGGGTTGCAGTGGAATTCAGAATTCTGCAGTGTGGTGCAGTGTACTTTTCCGTATTATTTTCTCAGTAGAACGTTATTTGCAGAATGCCTTCATCCCCCCCGATCAGCAACCATAAAGGAACTCATTTCTTTTGATAAGCAGTAAGAAAGTATTGTATTAATATGGATATGAAGGGGGGACAGAAAGCCCCCAAAAACTGTACAATAAGCTATACAGAATGGATGTATCAGAATCTCAGTTTAGAAAATACAAAAAGGTGACTTGCTAAAGGGCAGCCTAGTGCATGAGGCTCCTGCCAATGCGGGGTCTGGGGAGGGACAGATGTACGCGGCCTTACCCCTGCACATACAGAGAGGCCGTTTCCAAACAAAAGGTGACTAGCTGTCAATCAAAAAATAATAGAGCACCAATCATCCTTAAAGACTTCAACCTCTATGTGAGCAAACTGAGGCAAAACTTTGGCCCACCAAGTGAGGGTCCACTCAATATGGCTGATCACTTCATCCACAGGGGAGCTCTTACTTTGAAAAACTTGTGCATTTATTTCGCTCCAGATATTCCAACAAACTGCAAAAGATAGCTGGTCCCAAAGGATCTTTCCCTTCTTCAAAAAACCCAAGACCCTCCAAGAAGATAAAAGGCCTTCCAAATTTGAGGGTGCAACCCAACATCTGCAGAAAAGGCCCAAGAAATGGCATCAGACAGCAAAGGAGAAAGAACAATGTAGCAAAAGGTGATTGAATGATTCTGAAAACTCCTCACACAGGCTGCAGAGAGGGTCAACCACCATACCTCTCTTCAATATTTGATCCGCCGACTGAATTCTATCACAAACAGCGGCCCATAAAAAGAAGATTATCTTGGAAGGAACTTTGGCTCACCAAATCCAAGATCAGGAGACAGACTGGGGCAAACCAAGCAACAGACTATAGTAGGATTTGGTAGAGAAACAGCCTGACTTCTCCACCTAGATTCTAACATCTTACTGCAGAGGATTTAGCTGCACTTCAGTTAATTTTCCAACAACTCTCCTGCCAAAGACACCTCCCAGTCATTCAGGTTTGTCCTGAAGCGAGGCACCTGGATCAACTGTTTGCCCACCTGTCAACAGCAACCTACAAAGCTGGGAACACCGAATTCAGAGGTCTGTCACCCATACATCAGACTAGAAAAATATGTGTTCTCCATTCCCTGGTTTTAATTTGATATGTTTATCAATCCATGGGAGTTATACCATATTTACAACAATCACCTGTCTCCACAAATGATTAGGTTCTTCACCAAACCGCCATAACCACTTACAAAGCAGGACCCTATTTATAAACTTCAATTGCCTTAATCCAGCACTGCCAGCTTCCTTACTCCAGGCACTTTACCATCCCAGAGGGGGTAGTAAACAAAGAGAACAAATAGGTGGGAAGACATGAGAGTACACTCTGTATGAGAACCAACTTACCTCCTTTAGACCAGAGTCTATACTGGAATCGCTCAATGACTGGATCACAAATGGATTAGTAATTATAGCCTGCCCCCAACAGAAGACTGAGGTATTTCGTCGGTAGTGAGCCCACATTTACAACCCAACGAAACTGCTAATCTTCAATCCAGTGGGTTGGTAAGGTCTCCTGCTGGTTGTAGTGGAGACTTGGGGTTGAATCCCGCTTGCACCTGGGTTGGGGGATGGGCTACCCCCATTGTGTAGCCCTTAAGAAGAAATCGAAAAGACAATGCAAAAACAACATGTCCTCCTGCCTTGCCCTAGTGAAAGTGATGGTATCGTCAGCAAACTGTAACAGAGAAACTCTTGGACCATCATCTGCAACTGAGAAACCTTAATGTGTCCACCCTCTTCTGCTTTTTTAATCAACCTGCCCAAAGGGTCCACCACGAGGGTAAAGAGAAAAAGCGAGAGCAGGTCTGCTTAATGGATACTATGCTCACCAGGGAAGAAATCAACAGAGGCACCATTAATTAGCACAGAATACATTGGATCTGAGATGCAGCTAGAAATCTACTTTAGCCAGAGAACACCAAAGCCCATTCTCCTCAAGATGTAATCCACAAACTGCTATCTAATATGACCGTAATCTTTTTCCAAATCGAGCTTAAAAATGACTCCCGGCTTCCCCTGTCTAATTCTGGAGCCCACACATTCATTTGCAATCAGAGGCCCATCTAAAATCTGCTGACCATCCACTAAGGCTCCCTGAAATGGTAACACAAACTTTCACACTACTCTCTGGAGGCGATTAGCTAATAATTTTGACATCAATCTGTAAAAACTCCCAATTAAGCTTATTGGACGATAGTCCTTCAGGTTAGCAGCACCCTGCACCTTCAGAATTAGTGAAATGAAAGTATACTTTTCTGCATGGGGCAAACTACAATGTGCATAAAAATCCTGAAGAGCCACCATGACATCTGATTTGATGATCTGCCAAACATTCAGGCCCCGGTGCCTTGTCCCCCTTGAGATCCTTGAGAGCTTCCAACACCTCTGCTTCATCAAAAGGCCTCCTCTCCAACCAGTTCCTATCCTCATCAGAAAGCTGCTGAAAATTGACCCCATTGAATTGGGGCCTGTACCCTTGTCCATCAGAGAACAGAGACTTATAGTAATTTATTATGTCATCTGCCACCTCACTTTCCATCTCTAACAAATCCCCATCCACTCTGATGCTTGTGATTGAATTCCCCACCCTGTGGACACCTTCCTGGGCTTGGAAAGGTAAGGTCTCAATGTATCCATGCCAGTGAAAATTTTCAATGACATTCTGTTTTAATTAATCCAGTTATTCCCTTAGAATGGATCAATGGAGTGAAGCTTGAATTCTTATAGGCTGTTAATTGTTTCTGAGAACAATTCTTTATATTCTAAATGCACTTCTATTACAAGATATTCTTTCTGGAATTATGGATTACATTGCTATTAGTCTTGGTCTGTCTCCTATGCGATTGACATTTTTCCATTAGTTTCATGGATGAAACTTCTGAACTCTTGTGTTATTTTTGCAGCAAATTCCATGACATCTATGATGAGGATCATTTTATCAGTACCTTGGAAAATGATGTACGTGTGGTCACTAAACTGCCTGGCTTCATTATGGAACGATTTGACCGCAACATGAGTAATGTTTATAACTTCAGAATAAAGGCTTGGTCTTCCATTCGGTACTACAAGGATGCAGTTCTTCCAAAGCTTCTTGAAGAACAGTAAGTTAAAATATTCTTTTTTTGTATTTATTTTCTCTTACACGCTCACTGCATATCAAATGCAAGTGTTGCTTTAAAATGGCATACATTCCCCATCCTATTTCTGAATCCCTTTTTCCAAGGACAATTCCTTACTTTGGAACGGAAGTTATCTGTTCGAGTGAGTGTGATATTGCATGTTATTTCTGGTTGTCTGTGACCATTTGTTGATATGAACTTCACAAGATATCTTTAATTATGTGTACCAATTAGTAAATGGTTTTGTTTACAGAATTTAATATTTATACTTTTCTTTTTCAATGTATAGTAAATCTATATGTGTAGACCATAGTAAGGAGATCTATGAGAGAGTATTACTGTTTTGTCACAAAAGGGAAATAATATCAGTTTCCATATAGTCCAAACAGTTCATAAATTCCCATTGTCTGGTCGTGGCCTTGTGCTCAATGCTTTGAAAGCTGTACCAGTGATGCAGATAAAGAAGCCAGGAAAGAGTCCATGGAGAAATAAATAAGTTTTCTGATTCCTATAATAATATAAGACTTTTTTGGTAATTTGGATAATAGTATCTTTTAAACTCTTTTTTAATTTATTTTCTAGTTTATTGGTGTCTTAGGAATGGGTTTTTAAGTCTTAATGTCTCTGTTCTAGTTTCCGCTTGAAGTTGGTATATCTTAGCATAATGTCTCTGTTCTAAGTAAGTTTCCTTGGCCTGTTCCCAAATCTCACAAGATGTATCAGCCCATATGAAGTTTTTCTTTACATGTGGCAGCATAGAACCCAAGAGCCATGACATAACCATACTGTTCTCTTGATCCCATCTATCATGTTCAGCTGTACCAGATTTTGGTTCTTTAACTTTCTCATTTATATAACCAGCCTTTCCCCTAGCCGTCACATACAGTTTGATGCCTTTGGACCATTCCAAGTAATTGAGATCATCAAAGGGAGTGATAGACATCGAGAAATTTATGCAGTCCATTCCTCCATTCAGATTTCCTTGGGGAGAGGTAATACCAGAAGATGCTGAATCTTCAATAGACATTGGGCTCACTGTATTACTGCTTATTTCCCAAAGACAGAACTGAGAAAACTGAGGTTCTGTACCTCTACAGCACTGTTATTAGAACAAAAAAAAAAAAAAGTCCAACAAGCCAACCAAACAGAGGATAATACTTCAAACAAAGAGAACAGCAGAACTTCAGCCATCTTCGAATAAAGAGAGGCTTTAATAAACTAGTTCAGTGGGACTGAGGTCAGAAAACCCCAGCCGAATAGCTATCAGCTTATAGTAACAAAGAGAACCAGTCTCTACAAATCCAAACTGTAACATCCACAGTTATAGCAGCATACTGAAAACTAAATGTAACAGTACATACCTGGAGTACATCAATAAACTCCTGACGCACAGTCCATAAGAGAGAGGGCAAACCCCAAAGAATACTATTCACTGCATTTGGCTGCCACCAAAAACACCATAGAACCTCCTCTTGGTACAATGACCAAGAAAGAAAAAGAGAAAACACAAAAGCATGGGCCTAGTTCAGTCCGATGAGGCTTTGATTCTTCTTCCAGTCAAAAAGGAGATTTCAAATGAAAAAACTCAATCCGAGAAGCCTGAGCCTGGATCAGTGCTCTGATACCATGTAGTCCAGCAAGAAGAAAAAGAAAAAGAAGAAGAAAAGGAGAAGAGGAAGGAAAAAAGGGAAGAAAAGGTTCTATTCCAAAAGTTCCAAGGCCGGCAGCACCTAAGTTAGTATTTATACTAAGGGCGACAGCATACAGTAAAAAGATAAGAGAAAGACAAAATTACCCTTGTGGCAATACATAACACATTTCAACACTAGTTAATCTGCATCTAGCAGAGAAGGTATATCTCCTACTCCTTTTGCTCTAATTTGGTAGTTCCCTCCCTCATGGAAAAGAGATAATCTCTTGCACATCTGAGATCCTGGTTTCCATCAAGTGTTCTTAGACAGTGTATCTTATTGTTATTTTTTGATAGTTTGACAATTTGAGCATGCGTGTAGTCTCAATTTATTTTTTACTAACCCTTAAGAATAGTTTTGAGACTTTAGCATGAAACTATGAAAATACTCTGGAGAATTGTGAAGTAGAATCCTATTGGAAATTGTATTTAATTAATTGATTTATTATTTTCTGAAAATTTTGTTTTTTGGTGAATGGATAATGCAGGATCATAAGAATTTCTCCTTTTGCAAATCGTTTGTCATTTGATGCTCCTCCAGTTGTCCAACGCCTTAGATGCTTAGCAAATTATGAAGCATTAAGATTCTCAAAAGCTATAGCAACATTTGCAGAAACTTTAGTTGCAAGGATGAAGCTAAACAGTGCAAACAATAATGGAAAATATGTTGCAGTGCATCTGCGCTTTGAAGAGGTTAATTTTTCATATGAAAGAAGCATTGTAATTTGTCATTGTAAAATTCTCAATAGAATCTTGGTAGGAAGCATGGGTAGTGATTATTCTTGTTTACAGGACATGGTTGCTTTCTCTTGCTGTGTATTTGATGGTGGGGAGGAAGAGAAGCACGACATGAATGCCGCAAGAGAAAGAGGTTGGAGAGGAAAGTTCACAAAACCTGGTCGTGTTATAAAGCCTGGAGCTATCAGGATAAATGGAAAATGCCCCCTTACCCCATTGGAGGTAATACTCTTTCAATGTACCCATTTTTCCTTATGGATCTGTTTGTAGTTTTTTGTAAAGAACTTCTGTTACACGCATGCTGTTATGCAATGCATCTTTTATTTGCATTCACAGTTTTCTATATGTTGCTCATGTGGCCTTTTATGTTTCATTCATATATTTTGATTATACAGGTGGTGAATAGATTTAGTTCTTTTGATATTGAATAGTGATTGAAGATGTAATTAACAATCTATACTTGGCCTTTAAAGGTGATAAACATATATGTAATAATTGTCAAAAATGGTCTTGTAATATACACATCAATTGTGAAAAGTGGTGTTATAAACTTATAATAGAAACTTCACAAATGGGACAATGTCAAGTTTCCCTTAATGGTTTCACTTTACATTTTTTGGGTGCTTCATGTTTCTTTTGTTCTTTTTCCTTTTTCTTTCTAGTGTAGCACTTAATCAGATTATAGTGTGATGGCACATTGGTATAGGACCTTCTGAAATCAGGTCTAATGCTGGACTAAATGGTATGGTAAAGCAATTTAAGTAAACAATAAGAAGGCAAAAGTTTGGGAGGGAACTAGAAGTCATGGGATATCTTTGCGTTATTCTAAATTGCAATATTAATAGTGTTGTACCTTATTACATGCATCAATGGGCATCTTGTTGATTCACTAACAACTGGTTTCTTATTAATTTGAATGCCATCAGGTGGGGCTGATGCTTAGGGGAATGGGTTTTGATAACAGCACATCGATTTATTTAGCATCTGGAAAGATCTACAAGGCTGAGAAAACTATGGCTCCACTTCTTGAAATGTTTCCCCTTCTACAAACCAAAGAAACACTAGCATCTGTGGAGGAGTTAGCTCCATTTAAGGTATGGATGCTAATGGCTTCTATTTACAGCACACACGTATCAATGGTCCTTTTCAAGGTCATTACTTTAACTTGAGTTGCTTCTGCTTCTAGAACTACTCTTCCAGGATGGCTGCTTTAGACTACACTGTTTGTCTTCACAGTGAAGTATTTGTGACAACTCAAGGTGGAAACTTCCCCCACTTTCTAATGGGCCACAGAAGATATTTGTATGGTGGGCACTCTAAGACAATCAGGCCTGACAAGCGAAAGCTAGCATTACTGTTTGATAATCCAAATATTGGGTATGTTTTCATTGACTAAGTGTTCCTTTTATATATATGCATTGCAGTGAACCATTATCCATAGATTAGTGCCTTAAAGCTTATTTAAGTGCTTTGGTTGTCTATCCATTTAGGGACATGGATAAAGGGAAATAAGAGCTAGACATTATTGTGATGGATAGTAACTTTTAGCCATTAATCAAGCATTTCTTGAAGAGTGCAATTTCTTTGGATAAAACAATAATGTGAGTGTTTATCATCAGTAAAAAGAATGAATTGGGTGTGATCTAATAAAAACAATAGTGGGAAAAAAATAAAGAGATCTGCTAATATAGCTTATTTGTGTAAGCTTGTTAAATATGATTGATTTATTCAGTGTCTTCATTAAGATATTCTATCTACATTGATTTATTCTATTGTCTAAGATGTGTCAGTCATGTAGTAAATTCTTCTTTCAAGTCGGGTGTACCCAATTTGACGAGTTTAAACAGCACTATTCTTGGTCCTCAGGTCAGGCCCATTCAAATTTCAACAAATCCTCATCCTGAGTCTGCCTAAGTTGCACCTTTTCCATTCCATCAGGTGGCAGGTAACTGATCATTTATATCTTTATCCTCTTCCTGTTCAACTCCTTAAATATTCAGGAATTTCGACCTGAACCTGCATGCTCCTAACAGTTAGTTTCATATCAGCTTCTTCAGTGATACATCAATAGGTTTTGGAATCATTTTAGAATGTAAATAAAAACAGAAACTACTATAGATTCTCATTTATGAACCAGTAAAAAGCAGATTATCCTCTTTGAACGGTGAAATTATATTTTCAAGTGATGGAAATCAATCCCATGAGAGAGATGTTAGAGAATAACCAATTCAGGGACCTCACCTAACAGATTAAGCTTTTAGGTTGAACGGTTCCTTGAGATGGTATTAGAGTCTGTTCGATCAAGTGATCTAGTGTTCGATTCTCGTCGTCCCCATTATAATTAATTAAATTTCAGCACAAGGTATGGGTGGGCCTGTGCTTGTCCACGTTTCAAGCCCGATGGGCTTTTGCGTGAGGAGGCATGTTAGAGAATAAAAACCTATTCAGGGACCTCACCTAACAGCTTAGACTTTTAGATTGAAAGGTCCCATGAGAAGAGACATAAAAAGATTCTTGATTAGACTTTTTTCTTAAAGATTTCTAGTTTATACTTCTTGGATTCTCTTTTAGTTAGAAGTTACAGACTTACAGTTACCCTTAATATAGACCAACTTAGGGGGTATTTGGTAGTGTGGTCTCTGTAAGGTGTGGTGTGTTTGAATCCACTGTGCTCCACTTTGTTGTAGTTGAAAGCACATGGTTTGAACCACACCACACTCCATTAGGTGTTCTGCACTGTGGTATGGATGTATTGTTAACAAAATATATCTTTAAGCTCAAATGACTCAATGAATTGATTGAATTCTTCTTGCTAGTTGTTACATGTTGCTTGGTACTATTACTCCCATAAGAGAACCTAAAAACATCGCCATGGAAATTTTTCATTACCCAAACAAATCCATCCACCACATTCTTTAATTTTAATGGCATTGTAAATCTCATCACCGGTTCCTCCAAACACTTAACTATCTGCTCTTGTCACATTGTTATTATTCCTCTAGAGGAGGCACCCATGACCTAATTAATACCTTTCCATCCCCAAATACCCCTGATTCAACTTCTACCCCCCTCATATAATTTGGTTTCCTGGATCATCACAATGTCATTTTTTTCTTTCCTTAACAAAACCTCTTTAATCACTTTCCTTTTAGTGGCACTACCCAATCCTTTTACATTTGAAGTTTTTTTTGATGAATAATGAGTGATTTTATTAAGAATTAGAAATATAAAAGATACACAGAAAGTTCCCAAAAAAGAGGCACGAGAGGCAGCTTCAGATCAAAACAAAGAATTACAGTTTAGCCCCAAACATCTGATTCCTATGCACCCCTTGTTTAGCTAGTGAGTCTGCTATCCCGTTTGCAGATCTTCTTTCCCATTGGAAATGGACTGACATATTTGTAGTTAGCAATCTGAAGCAGGCTGCTGTTTCTGGTTCTTTTAACCACTGGATCACCAGCTTAGAGTCACCTTCAATTAAAAGCTGTTCACAATTCAGTTCTTTGGCAAATTCAGCTTCTTGTAACATTGCCTGAATTTCTTCATTAACTGAATCCCCTACTCCTATAGGGCCAGAATATAGAGTGATAATTAATTTAAACTTTTCAAATTTTAAGGTTGTCATTCTTCCTTCATCCATCTATGGGTCGCAATATAAGCAATATTTGGCGAAATATCCCCGATATATCCCATTTTTCTAAGTGGCGATATGAAATTTTCTAGGAATCTTTTTTTTTTCCTAATACCTCTGATATTTTGTTGATATTGTTGAAGATTAATCAGTTTTATGATGTTTTTCTGAGTAGATGTTTTATGTTAGTTGTTAGGAGGTGGGGACCATAGTAGTTATGTGAGTCCAAATTTTATTATGTTTTTGAGTCATATATGTTGTTTTATGTTTTGCCGCCCTATAAGGGCATAATTGTCTTTGTACTATATTATTTTTAGTATAAATAATAAGTGAAGGGGGCGGCTAGATTATTGCTCTCTTTTCTTTTCAACTTCTCTTCTTCTCCTTCTCTCTTCTCTCTTCAATAAACTACTTTTCTTTCATTTTTTTAATTCAGCAGATTTCTACTTGGTATCAGAGCATCGACTAGGGTTTCTTGAAGCATTTTCATGCAATCCTAGATTAGCGACTGCATGAAGTAGTAAAGGGCTGATCGATCTACTATAGATTGCCCAGTTCTTGGATTTTTTGGTGGGATCTAGTCATCAGGAAGGTGATATACTGTTTAGCATCAAAATCGGGAAGAACTGGAGTACGGGGAAGAGTCCCAGAAAAGTTGGACTCTTTGTTTTTGATCTGATCTTGGGTGCCCAAGTATTGTTAGTTTTCTTTTGATTTTCTGAAGAGGGCGGTTTGGTTTTTGGAATTTTCTGAGCCTCCTAGAGTGATCGATTTACTCTTCTCTCTGTTGGGAGGCATAGGGAGGAGAGAGATTTCTCTCCAGCTAGGGTTTTCTTCTTCCGGAAGGGTTGGTTTCTGTGTGTGTGATATTAAATTATTTTTGGAAGGTCTCCAATCTATTTTTTCTTACTATTGAACTATTTGAAGTAAGATGGAGAGTTGAGAAGAAAAACAACCTTTTGAGAAGAAAGGACTGTTTAGAAAGTTGCAAAAATTCAAAAGAAAGTAGTAGAAATCAGAGTTCAAGAGGTGAGAAGAAGAAGAAGAAGGTGGCAGCAACTTGGGTTCAGAGAGAGAGATTTTCGAACATAATCTCTTCTCTTACTCCCTTAATTCTATTTTATTAAGCTAAACTTTAGTAATTTACAGAGAAGCCCCTAGTTGGGCAGAGAATTAAAAAAACATAGCATAAGAAAGAATAAAGCTCAGATTAAGGCCCATTACAACAAAGAACATAAAAGATAAAAAAGGATAAACAGCCTATGGGTCATTCAGCCCATCTTCTTTACACTCCCCCTCAAGCTGAGCATAGATGTCAATCATGCCAAGCTTGCCAGTATCATGCTGAAGTTTAGCCTTGGGAATGCCCTTGGTGAGGAAATTAGCTAATTGTCCTTCAGAGGTGATGAAAGGTAGACACACTTCTCCAGAAGCAACTCTTTCTCGAATGGTGTCTGTCAACTTCTATATGCTTAGTTCTGTCATGTTGCACTGGGTTGTGAGCAATGTTGATGACGGCCTGATTATCACAGTATAACATCATTGGCTTATCATGCTCAATACCCAGTTCCTTCATCAAGGGTCTAAGCCACAATAGTTCAAAAACTCTATGAGCCATGGCTCTGTATTCTGCTTCGGCTGAAGATCGAGCAACAAGTGATTGTTTCTTGCTTCTCTAAGAGACAATATTACCTGCCACCAAGCTACAATACCCAGAGGTAGATCTTCTGCCATCAATGTTTCCGGCCCAGTTAGCATCTGTGTAGGCTTCAAGTTTCATATGGCCATGCTTAGCAAATAGAATTCCCTTTCCAGGGGAGCCCTTCAAATAACACAGAATCCACTCTGCTGCTACCATGTGA